TCTGTGTTTCTATAATGGTGTCTGTGTTTCTATAATGGTCTCTCTATGTCTGTGTGTCTATAATGGTCTCTCTGTGTCTGTGTGTCTAATGGTCTCTCTTTGTCTGTGTGTCTATAATGGTCTCTCTGTGTCTGTGTGTCTATAATGGTCTCTGTGTGTCTATAATGGTATCTGTGTGTCTGTGTGTCTAATGGTCTCTGTGTGTCTGTGTGTCTAATGGTCTCTGTGTCTGTGTGTATATAATGGTCTGTGTGTCTATAATGGTCTGTGTGTCTATAATGGTGTCTGTGTGTCTATAATGGTCTCTGTGTCTGTGTGTCTATAATGGTCTCTCTGTGTCTGTGTGTCTAGAATGGTCTCTCTGTGTCTGTGTGTCTATAATGGTATCTGCGTCTGTGTGTCTATAATGGTCTGTGTGTCTATAATGGTGTCTGTGTGTCTATAATTGTGTCTGTGTGTCTATAATGGTGTCTCTGTGTCTGTGTGTCTATAATGGTCTCGCTGCGTGTGTCTGTGTGTCTATAATGGTCTCTCTGCGTGTGTCTGTGTGTCTACAGTCGTAGTCAAAAGTTTTGAGAATGACACAAATATTAATTTTCACAAAGTCTGCTGCCTCAGTTTTAATGATGGCAATTTGCATATACTCCAGAATGTTATGAAGAGTGATCAGATGAATTGCAATTAATTGCAAAGTCCCTCTTTGCCATGAAAATTAACTTAATCCCAAAAAACTTTTCCACTGCATTTCAGCCCTGCCACAAAAGGACCAGCTGACATCATTTCAGTGATTCTCTCGTTAACACAGGTGAGAGTGTTGACGAAGATAATGCGGGAGATCACTCTGTCATGCTGATTGAGTTAGGATAACAGACTGGAAGCTTTAAAAGGAGGGTGGTGCTTGAAATCATTGTTCTTCCTCTGTTAACCATGGTTACCTGCAAGGAAACACGTGCTGTCATCATTGCTTTGCACAAAAAGGGCTTCACAGGTAAGGATATTGCTGCTAGTAAGATGCACCTAAATCAACCATTTATCGGATCATCAAGAACTTCAAGGAGAGAGGTTAAATTGTTGTGAAGAAGGCTTCAGGGTGCCCAAGAAAGTCCAGCAAGCGCCAGGACCGGGGCACCACCAGTGCAGAGCTTGCTCAGGAATGGCAGCAGGCAGGTGTGAGTGCATCTGCACGCAGAGTGAGACGAAGACTTTTGGAGGATGGCCTGGTGTCAAGAAGGGCAGAGAGGAAGCCACTTCTCTCCAGGAAAAACATCAGGGACAGACTGATATTCTGCAAAAGGTACAGGGATTGGACTGCTGAGGACTGGGGTAAAGTCATTTTCTCTGATGAATCCCCTTTCCGATTGTTTGGGGCATCCGGAAAAAAGCTTGTCTGGAGAAGACAAGGTGAGCGCTACCATCAGTCCTGTGTCATGCTAACAGTAATGCATCCTGAGACTATTCATGTGTGGGGTTGCTTCTCAGCCAAGGGAGTGGGCTCACCCACAATTTTGCCTAAGAACACAGCCATGAATAAATAATGGTACCAACACGTCCTCCGAGAGCAACTTCTCCCAACCATCCAAGAACAGTTTGGTGACGAACAATTCCTTTTCCAGCATGATGGAGCACCTTGCCATAAGGCAAAAGTGATAACTAAGTGGCTCGGGGAACAAAACATCAACATTTTGGGTCCATGGCCAGGAAACTCCCCAGGCCTTAATCCCATTGAGAACTTGTGGTAAATCCTCAAGAGGAGGATGGACAAACAAAAACCCACAAATTCTGACAAACTCCAAGCATTGATTATGCAAGAATGGGCTGCCATCAGTCAGGATGTGGCCCGGAAGTTAATTGACAGCATGCCAGGGCGGATTGCAGAGGTCTTGAAAAAGAAGGGTCAACACCGCAAATATTGACTCTTTGCATAAACTTAATGTAATTGTCAATAAAAGCCTTATGGAATGCTTGTAATTATACTTCAGTATACCATAGTAACATCTGACAAAAATTTCTAAAAACACTGAAGCAGCAGACGTTGTGAAGACCAATTTTTATTTATTTTTTTATTTTTTTATTTATTTTTTTATTTCACCTTTATTTAACCAGGTAAGCCAGTTGAGAACAGGTTCTCATTTAACAACTTGCGACAGGAGGATGGAACAGCACGAACCTTCTGCATCCGAGTGGAGAAAAAAACTGAAGACCAAAGTGGTTGTAAAAGCAGACAAGTCGAAATTCCTCAGACAAGACATAAAGATTTAACAGGTACGTTGGACGTATATGGAACGGCCAACTGAATGGAATACACACAGAGATTGCATCCAAAATTTGCAAGATGGTATAGGTCCTCTGGTCTGAGTCAATGGGTCTCAGTTTGCTCAAATGTGTCATGTATGTGTATAATGTCCGTCTCGTTCTAAATCCAGCGTTGTGAGACATTTAGTGATTCTCTGATTGTGTATATATGGCTTGGTCTATGTCACTATTAGGTCCATCTGCGGTTCTATGGTACAAATGGACTCTGCAGATGAGTGTGCAATAAAAAGGCATCTCTGCTGAAAACTAGCTGAATGTCATAATGGTCTCTCTGTGTCTGGTGGTCTATAATGGTGTCCTGTGCGGATTCCTTATAATGGTGTCCTGTTTTGTCTATAATGTCTCCTCTTGGTGTCTTAATGGTTCTTCTGCTCTGTGGTCTAAATGTCTCTGAGCTGTGTTCTAAAGGTCCTCTTGTGTTGTGTGTCTAATGTCTTTGTTCTATATGGTCCTCTGGTGCTGTGTGTCATAATGGTCTCTGGTGGCGTTGGGTCTATAATGGAGCTCTTGTGTCTGTGGTCTAAATGTGTGCCTGTGTCTATAATGGTCTCATCATGTGTCTGTGTGTCTATAATTGTGTCTTCTGTGTGTCTATAAGTTGGTCCGGTTGGTGTCTATAATGTCTCTTGTGTTGTGTGTATAAATGGTCTCTCTGTGTCTGTGTGTCTTAATGGTCTGTCAGTGTCTATAATGGTCTCTCGTGGTGGTCTATAATGGTCTTCGTCTGTGTTCTAAATGGTCTCATCTGTGTCTGTGTGTCTATAATGGTCTCTCTGTGTCTGTGTGTCTATATGGTTTTGTCTGTTGTGTCTATAATGGTTCGTCTGTGTGTCTATAATGGTCTCTGCTGTGTCTTGTGTCTATAATGGTCTCTCTGTGTGTCTGTTGTGTTCTATAATGTTCTCTCTGTCTATATGTTCTGTGGTCTGTGTGTCTATAATGGTCTTCTGCTGTGTCTATGTGTGTCTATAATGGTCTCTCTGTGCTTGGTCTATAATGGTCTCTTGTCTGTGTGTCTAATGTCTGTGTCTGGTGTCTATAATGGTGTCTGTGTGTCTATAATGGTCTTCTGCTGTCTTGTTCTGTGTGTGTCTATAATGGTCTCTCTGTGTCTGTGTGTCTATAATGGTCTCTCTGCGTGTTCTGTGTGTCTATAATGGTCTCTCTGTGTTTGTCTTTGTGTGTCTATAATGGTCTCTCTCTGTGTCTATAATGGTCTCTCTGTGTCTGTGTCTATAATGGTCTTCTGTGTCGTGGTCTGGTTTGTGCTATAATGGTCTCATCGGTGTCTGTGTGTCTATAATGGTCTCTCTGCGTTGGTCTGGTGTCTATAATGGTTCTCTCTGTGTCTGTGTGTCTATAATGGTCTCTCTGTGTCTGTGTGTCTATAATGGTCTCTGCTGTGTCTGTGTGTCTATAATGGTCCTCTGTGTCTTGGTTTCTGTGTTGTGTGTCTATAATGGTTCTCTGTCTGTGTCTGTTGTCTTATCGTGGTTGTCTCTGTCTGTGTCTATAATGGTCTCTCTGTGTCTGTGTGTCTATAAGGTTCGTGTCTGTGTCATGGTCTGTGTGTCTATAATGGTCTCTCTGTGTCTGTGTGTCTATAATGGTCTCTGTGTGTCTATAATGGTCTCTGTGTGTCTATAATGGTCTCTGTGTCTGTGTGTCTATAATGGTCTCTGTGTCTGTGTGTCTATAATGGTCTCTGTGTGTCTATAAGGTATGTGTCTGTGTGTCTATAATGGTCTCTCTGTGTCTGTGTGTCTATAATGGTCTCTGTGTCTGTGTGTCTATAATGTCTCTGCTATGGTGTGTGCATAATGGTCTTCTGTGTCTGGTGTGTCTATAATGGTCTCTCTGTGTCTGTGTGTCTATAATGGTGTCTTGTGTCTGTGTCTATAAGGTCTCTGTGTCTGTGTCTATAATGGTCCTCTTCTGTGTTTTGGTGTGTCTATATTGGTCTGTCTTGTGTCTGTGTGTCTATAATGGTCTCTGTGTCTGTGTGTCTATAATGGTCTCTGTGTGTCTATAATGGTCTGTGTGTCTATAATGGTCTCTGTGTGCTATAATGGTCGTTGTGTCTATATGGTCTCTGTGTGTCGTGTTATAATGGTCTCTGTGTGTCTATAATGGTCTCTTGTGTCTGTGGTGTCTATAATGGTCTCTCTGTGTCTGTGTGTCTATAATGGTGTCTGTGTGTCTATGTGTCTATAATGGTCTCTGTGTCTGTGTGTCTATAATGGTCTCTCTGTGTCTGTGTGTCTATAATGGTGTCTGTGTGTCTATAATCGTCTCTCTGTGTCTGTGTGTCTATAATGGTCTCTGTGTGTCTATAATGGTCTCTGTGTCTGTGTGTCTATAATGGTCTCTCTGTGTCTGTGTGTCTATAATGGTCTCTCTGTGTCTGTGTGTCTAATGGTCTCTCTGTGTCTGTGTGTCTATAATGGTCTCTGTGTCTGTGTGTCTATAATGGTCTCTGTGTGTCTATAATGGTCTCTGTGTCTGTGTGTCTATAATGATCTCTGTGTCTGTGTGTCTATAATGATCTATCTGTGTCTGTGTGTCTATAATGGTCCCTCTGTGTCTGTGTGTCTATAATGGTCTCTGTGTCTGTGTGTGTCTATAATGGTGTGTGTGTAGGCCCACCTGCGCAGCACAGAGCAGGAGAACACTAAGCTGAGTGCAGAGCTGCAGATGCTGAAGGCTGTGGAGCTCAACAGAGAGGTTACCATCGCTCAGTTCCAGGAAGAACTGGACAGGCTCCGAGCCTGTGTCACTCAGAAAGATCGCCTGGAGAAAGACCTGCACACACACGCTGTCGACAAGGTGAGGAGGGAGGGAGGGGGGAGTGTGTGTGTGCATGTGGGTCTTTCTATAAATTAGGGTACCAGTGAGCATTTGTTGTAGTGGACAGCTGTTTGGAGCTGTTACAAAGTCAATAATACTATTTTTTTCTTCATGTTAATACATTAAGATATAAAGGGGGAACATACAGTACCATTGAAAAGTTTGGACACCTACTCATTCCAGGGTTTTTCTTTATTTGTAATATTTTCTACATTGTAGAGTAATAGTGAAGACATCAAAACTATGAAATAACACATATGGAATCATGTAGTAACCAAAAACGTGTTAAACAAATCAAAATTAATTTTATATTTGAGATTCTTCAAATAGCAACCCTTTGCCTTGATGACAGCTTTGCACACTCTTGCTCTCACCATGTCACCACCCATCAATCCCCCTCAGATCTCCACACGTGTCTAGACTGGGCAGTAGGGGTTAGGGGTTGTTTCTGGATAGGCCATGGGTATTATGGTAGTGCAGTCAGTCAGTCTGGCACTGTCATAAAAATGTTAATAGCTGTCAAATACTTGCTTCCTCTGGCCTTGGGAGAATCTCAATTACATTTTGTTGATTCTTTGCGTCCTCTCTCCTCGTCTCCTTCTTAAAACCCATTGGATGAGAAGGTCAGAGGTCCCTCCCCTCTCTCCTTCTTATCAATGGGTTTTTGAGAAGGAGACGAGGATGTGAGGAATTAAGGAAATGCAATTGAGATTCTCCCCTTGTTTCCTCCATTCCTTACCTCCCTCTCAAAGCCCATTGTGGGAGAGGAGGGAAGGTTCCTCCCCTCAGGCTCCAATGCACTTTCAAGGAGAGGCAAGGAGTGGAGGAAGAAAGGACAGCGGAAGCAAGAATGTGATGTCTAGTTTTCACCCACACACACACTGTGGAAACTTTACTGATTATAATCATTTCATTAGTGGTTGTTATTATTATTGTCAATGATTTTGTTGACAGAACCCATTGTATTATATTATTGTATTAAATGATCATGTAAACTATTACAAAATATAGAAATGCTGTTTATCTTTTGCTGTTTAGCATGGCTATACATGATAGAGAAGTTGACTAAAGCACAAACAGACATGCAGTGCATTTTGAATGACATGTAGATGTTTTGTTGTTGCTAGGTGGAGTTATGGTCTTGTCGTGCATACCTAGACTCTTATTCCTGTAACTACACATGTGAAGCCGCAAGAAAATCATATTTAAATGTGTATCAAATTATTTAGAAATGTTTACCCTGATGTCACATATTGGCCTCTTTATTTATAGAAAGACTGTAGGCTAAGATAGCCCTTCTGAGGTAGCAGTTACTGTATGTCAGGCCTCGCAGCACCTGTGTGTGAATGTGTGTGTAAAAATGTTTGTGCGTTTACCTGTGTAAAAGTGTATTAGCCTGTCTGCCCCTCCCTCTCTACAGGCTGAGATGGGTCGTCTGAGGGAGAAGCTTCGCCAGGCCGAGGAGCAGCTCCAGGCGTCTCGCCAGCAGGCCGCCATGTTGGCGTCGGAGCTCCGTGACTCAGCGAGTGCCCGCGACCGCACCATGACCGAGCTGTACCGCGCCCGCCTGGAGGCCGACTCCCTCCGCGCCAGTCTGGCCGATGCTCAGGCCGAGTGCCGGCGAATGGAGACGCAGCTGGACCGCATGAGGACCACCTCCCAACAGGAAGTGGTAAGGGGAACATATATATATTAACAGAGTCTTACGGTTGGACCAGGAAGTAGCTTCAGGCTTGAACTTTCAAGGATTTATCTTTCTTAGTTTTTAAGGATAGAAATAGAAGATGAATTTACAACTGCTATGTGCTGTAGACAGGTTTAGTAACAGAATTCCAGTACTGAATTATTTTATTTGTGCTGAACTACTCCCCCATCCCCTGACCCCCTCTATCTCCCCCTCCCTCTTTCTTAGGGTGTGGGGACCACCAGTGAGGGGGGGTGTGTGGTATCTGAGGCGGAGGCTGAGCTACAGAGAGAGGTGGAGGAGCTGAAGCTGCGTCTCCACATGGCCGCTGAGCACTACAAGGAGAAGTACAGGGAGTGTCAGCGGCTCCGCAGGCAGGTGGCCAAGCTCAGCGAGGCCCAGGGGGTGAGTCTGTCTGTCTGTCTGTCTGCAGAACTGTACTACACCACACCACATCGTCACAGAGGCATCTAGTGGTACACACCCAAGGTCACTGATGGGTTGTGTGTGAAATGGCACCCTCTTCCTTATATGGTGCCATTTAGGGAATAGGGTGCCATTTCATGCGCAGCCAAGCTGTCTCTTATGTCCACAGCCTGATTCAGCAACAGAAACATTCTACCAAATGACTGGGATTTTGTCATTGGGGTACATCTCAATGGTCTGAAGTGGCTTCCTCAACTTGTCAATGCATGAGATTCTATCATTGAGGTGCATCTCAATAGTCAGAAGTGGCTTCCTCAACTTATTTCCCCCTTATGTCTGTAGGAGTCAAAGAGAAACGCTGCTACTGAGACGACACAGGAGCCACTGACACCCAGTCCAGAGTCACCTACCGCAGGTACTGACACATACATACACACACACTCTTTTCTCTTTAATACTAAATCCTCTAACTTGTGTGTGTTTGCAGGCAATCTGGCTGCAGCTGTGCTGAGAGGAGACACTGAGAGGCCTGCAGTCCCTAAACGCAGGGAACACACACACACCAATACATTCTCAGGCATGGAAACCATGAGAGTAGGGGAGAAAGACTGGAAGGGGATAAATAGGGAAGTGAGTGGAGGAGAGGAATGGAAAGAAGAGGGGAGGAAGGAGGACAGGAGTGTAGGAGGGGAGTTCATGAGCGTGAAGATGGAGAGTTGGGTGGAGGTGGAGAATGAGAGTAGGAGTGCTGAAGAGGGGGATGAGGGGAGGAGTGCGGAGGAGGTAGAGGGGGATGAGGGGAGGAGTGCGGAGGAGGTAGAGGGGGATGAGGGGAGGAGTGCAGAGGAGGTAGAGGGGGATGAGAGGAGGAGTGCGGAGGAGGTAGAGGGGGATGAGGGGAGGAGTGCGGAGGAGGTAGAGGGGGATGAGAGGAGGAGTGCGGAGGAGGTAGAGGGGGATGAGGGGAGGAGTGCGGAGGAGGTAGAGGGGGATGAGGGGAGGAGTGCGGAGGAGGTAGAGAAAGAACAGACTCGTTCGGTGGAGGAGGAGCTGGCGAGGATGGAGGAGAAGTGGGCGGAGCAGTGTGCTATCAACGAGACGCTTAAACAGAGACTGGCCAATGAGGAGGAGCGATTCAGGGTGAGTCATCCACACACTCACACACACGATCATGCTCACATTTAACAACATTTGTACACACACACACACACACACACGGACGCACACATTCGGGCACACAAACACACCCAGTCTCTCTGCCAGGGTGATAAGGTTGTGTCTAGGTCAGCCCTGTGAGGTTAGCTTGGTTGTTACTCTTCATCCGTTCATCACCAAGGTCCTCTACACTGAGTGTGTATGTTTCTCACAATTAAGTGTGTACTTCTCTCACAGTGAGGGTGTTTGTGTGTGTGTGTGTTTTCAGTTACAATGTCACATGCACAAGTACAGTGAAATGCCTTCCTTTCTAGCTCTGTGTGTGTGTTTGACCTCTGGGAGTGAGTGTGGGTGTGTTTGACCTCTGGGAGTGGGTGTGTTTGACCTCTGGGAGTGAGTGTGGGTGTGTTTGTCCTCTGGGAGTGAGTGTGTGTGTGTGTGTTTGACCTCTGGGAGTGAGTGTGTGTGTGTGTGTGTGTGTGTGTTTGACCTCTGTGAGTGTGTGTGTGTTTGACCTCTGTGAGTGTGTGTGTGTTTGACCTCTGGGAGGGAGTGTGTGTGTGTTTGACCTCTGGGAGGGAGTGTGTGTGTGTTTGACCTCTGGGAGGGAGTGTGTGTGTGTTTGACCTCTGGGAGGGAGTGTGTGTGTGTTTGACCTCTGGGAGTGAGCGTGTGCTTGATCTCTGGGAGTGAGCGTGTGCTTGATCTCTGGGAGTGAGCGTATGCTTGATCTCTGGGAGTGAGCGTGTGCTTGATCTCTGGGAGTGAGTGTATGTTTATCTGTGCAGTAAATAGTAGGCTCTCTCCTTCGATAGTGTCTCCAGATAGAGATAAATACACACAGTTAGTAACCCCAGCCCTAATGCTCCTGAGACAGACACAGATACACATGCTTTATAGCTGTTTACATCACACACACTGGGGAGGATATACGAGGAGGAGATGAGACACGAGGAGGAGAGGGAAAAAAGAGGTGAGAGAGAGAGAGAGACAGCCTGCCTGCCTTTTGTAGTTGTTTGAGAAGAGCCCAGACACACACAGTCATGTAAACTATCCCACAGGGTCAAAGCTTTGTACAAGTGCTTGATTTATATTCACCCCCAGTGCACTAGACTAGGTTATGTCTGGGATGGTGTATACATGATGACTTGCAATGGTTCCTTAAAGGCTAAATCTGTAAGTTCTCTGTCCCTTGTGGCCAATGGGTACAATGTATTTCTAATGTTTGTCTGATGGTCTGATGTTTTTCCAACGTTTCCTCTGTGTAGATCCAGATGGCAGAGAGGGCCATGGAGGTGACAGAGCTGAAGGAGAGTCTGGCTCAGGCCCTCAGAGAGAAGGACCAACTCAAGGAGGTACTATGAACATTCATACAGCTGTCATAGCATAAGACCTCAGGAAATACACAGTTTACACAACTGTTAAAACATCAGGACACTGGACCCATGAGCTGTCATATGTTTGAGATGTTATAAAGTGCTTTCATAGAGCTACTGCTGAAGCCTGCAAGGGTTTAGCTGTTATAAGCCTACCAAAAGCACTGGATACCCCAACATAGCTTCCTCCCTCTGCCCCAATTTCTAGATTCCAACTAATGATACACCCATCCCTGTACACTAACCATTAAATGGTGCAAATGCCATCCTCCGTGTCTGTTTCACCCCCGCGGTCACTCTTTTTAAAATGTTATACCGGATAGCCCTGCACTAATGAAGTCATCAAGAGAGGAAGGAAGAAAAAGGTGGGAAGGAGAAAGAAAGGAAAGAGGGGGGAAGTGGGCGAGCACCTTTAGCATGCGAGAGCTATGTGGGCTGGAGTTTGACACCTCGTACTGTAAGACTAGATTATTATAGCAGTTGACTTCAGATAGAACTGCTTGGAGTTCAATGATAGAAAACCCTGAAGTTGCTCCTAATCTTATAATATTACAAAGCTCCAATGGATCATTTCAGATCTAGGAGAGGTGTCTAGGATAGGGTATTTCAGACTGGGCATAGATATGACATCCTGCTTCAGTGGTACCTAGTCCATGGCCATGGATATTTATACAATGGGTGGGTCTAATCCTGGATGCTGATTGGTTAAAACCGTGTTCCAGCCATTGTGTATTTCACAGACTACCACCAGCTATGGTGGCTAAATGCCTATTTACTGTTCCATCTGAAAAGTCACTGCGCTTCGGTCTCAGCCCAGCCAGGCAATTGATAAACCTGATCTCCACTGTCCCATAGAGAATGAACGTGTCGGGACGAGACAGACGGCTTTCCTCAGCCAGTCGATATCATGAATTCGCAACATTTTATGGATAAATGCAAAGAAATATTAATAGAAGAACAGGTAAAAACGAAATGAAATGCAGCTCGTTTGCTGTCTTTCCAGCTTCAGTTTGAAGTGATTGTGTTAGCTGTGTAGTTGGCTATCTAGCAAGGAGGAAAAGCCTGCATAGCAACCATTTTTGTTTGGCATGGCAACGATGCCAATCGAACCAACTACCAGATGGCTTGGATAGCAACCTCGGGACTATATCCTCATGGAAGGATGAAATGGTATGAATAAATTCATAGAAATAAAGTTTTTAATGAAAATATGTCAATCATTATTTGAATATGTTGGTAACCATTGTATAAAAGTGATAATGCCCTCAAAGCCTTGGTTTGGAGGAAATATTGGAACAGTTTGCTGGCCCGAGACAACACCCATGCCAATATATCCTCCAAACCACGGCTTCTCTGGCATTATCACTTAAATACATAGCTATAGTTACACATACAGTCATGCATTTTCTGTATATCTAAGATTGTGGCCCAGCCTGAAAGGACATTTCACTCATAAATGTAAGTTTGTCAAATGTTTTCAGACTTTACAAGTAGAGTAATGTCAAGATGAAACCACGCCCCATGGCATTGGTTTTGTATATCCAGCTATATGAATGGAAAAGATCAGCACCGTCTGATTTCCTGGTTTTATTCGGTGCTAATATTTTTTTCAAATCATTTAAGTTGTTCTCAGTGGCCATCTCCTTGTCCCCATACCAGGAGCTGCAGCAGTGTCAGGACCGACAGAGGGAGCAGGAGGCTGATGGTCAGGGGTCAGAGGTCAAACAGCCCGTGTTGTTGCGCTACCCCCTGCCCTACCCCCAGGACCCCTCCCCACCCCCCCTGGTACCCCAGAGACCTGCAGAGCTGCAGTATGGGAACCCCTACTCCACCGACAACACACGAGGTGAAACCCTCGGCCCCCATCTATCTATCTGTCTGTCTCTTTGACTGTCATCTCGACAGGCATCTCTACATCACTCTAGATATCTACAGTATCTACAGGGGCGGCAGGTAGCCTGGCAGGGTAGGAGCGTTGGTTGCCGAAAGGTTGCTGGATCGAATCCCCGAGCTGACAAGGTAAAAATCTGTCGTTCTGCCCCTGAGCAAAGCAGTTAACCCACTGTTGCCCGGGCGCCGAAGACGTGGGTATCGATTAAGGCAGCCCTCCGCACCACTCTGATTCAGAGGGGTTGGGTTAAATGCAGAAGACACATTTCAGTTGAATGCATTCAGTTGTACAACTGACTAGGTATCCCCCTTGTGTGACTATGTGCTTTCTCCATTTTTCTTCCCTAAATTTTATCTTACTCTACCAGTCTATCTCAATTGTCTCTCTCGATCTCCCCCTCTCTTCTCGCTGTAGCTTCCCTCTCTGTCAACCCCTTACATTCTCTCCCTCACATCGGTCTGTTGAACCACAGCCACATCTCCCTCTCTCCCACCTAAAGAGACACCGATCCTGCTCGTTTTCAGTGGTGACACTTCCTGTTTCCTGTGTGATTGTTGTGTTTTCTCCAGATGGGGCAGACGGTGCCCTGTCCCCTGAGCAGATGCCCCGCCCCCCTCCCGAGGCCCCTGGTGCATTCGCCCCTCCGTGCGCGCCTCCGGCCACCCCCCCATCCCCTGGTGCAGGTGCAGGCTGGGAGAGAGAGGTGGTCTGCATCCAGCCCTCCTCCTCACGAAGCATGAGCCCCCCTGACGGACTGGAGCACCCCCCCGAGGAGCCACGCAACGTGAGTTCACACACACACTGAGCAGACACTCTGCTAAGTTCTGTAACCTAGTCCTCTTTTATTGCTGTTTGTGTATGCCCATTTCTGTCCTCCACCGCCAATCCTTTTTCCACTTACACTGAATATACCAAACATTAGGAACACCTTCCTAATATTGAGTTGCACCCCCCTTTGCCCTCAGAACAGCCTCAATTCATCAGGGCATGGACTCTACAAGGTGTCGAAAGCGTTCAACAGGGATGCTGGCCCATGTTGACTCCAATGCTTCCCACAGTTGTCAAGTTGTCCTTTCGACTACCATACCCCGTTCAAAGGCACTTCGATTTTTTTGTCTTGCCCATTCACCCTCTGAATGGCACACATACACAATCCATGTCTCAATTGTCTCAAGGCTTAAAAATCCTTCTTTAACCTGTCTCCTCCCCTTCATCTACACTGATTTGAAGTGGATTTAACAACTGACATCAATAAGTGATCATAGCTTTCACCTGGATTCACCTGGTCAGTCTATGTCATGGAAAGAGCAGGTGTTCTTAATGTTTTGTATACTCAGTGCATTTACTTTAGCTTGTTCTCTTGCATACCACTTTCTATTTCTACCTCTTGTCTCTACAGTGGGGGAAAAAAAGTATTTAGTCAGCCACCAATTGTGCAAGTTCTCCCACTTAAAAAGATGAGAGAGGCCTGTAATTTTCATCATAGGTACACGTCAACTATGACAGACAAAATGAGGAAAAAAAATCCAGAAAATCACATTGTAGGATTTTTAATGAATTTATTTGCAAATTATGGTGGAAAATAAGTATTTGGTCACCTACAAACAAGCAAGATTTCTGGCTCTCACAGACCTGTAACTTCTTCTTTAAGAGGCTCCTCTGTCCTCCACTCGTTACCTGTATTAATGGCACCTGTTTGAACTTGTTATCAGTATAAAAGACACCTGTCCACAACCTCAAACAGTCACACTCCAAACTCCACTATGGCCAAGACCAAAGAGCTGTCAAAGGACACCAGAAACAAAATTGTAGACCTGCACCAGGCTGGGAAGACTGAATCTGCAATAGGTAAGCAGCTTGGTTTGAAGAAATCAACTGTGGGAGCAATTATTAGGAAATGGAAGACATACAAGACCACTGATAATCTCCCTCGATCTGGGGCTCCACGCAAGATCTCACCCCGTGGGGTCAAAATGATCACAAGAACGGTGAGCAAAAATCCCAGAACCACACGGGGGGACCTAGTGAATGACCTGCAGAGAGCTGGGACCAAAGTAACAAAGCCTACCATCAGTAACACACTATGCCACCAGGGACTCAAATCCTGCAGTGCCAGACGTGTCCCCCTGCTTAAGCCAGTACATGTCCAGGCCCGTCTGAAGTTTGCTAGAGTGCATTTGGATGATCCAGAAGAGGATTGGGAGAATGTCATATGGTCAGATGAAACCAAAATATAACTTTTTGGTAAAAAACTCAACTCGTCGTGTTTGGAGGACAAAGAATGCTGAGTTGCATCCAAAGAACACCATACCTACTGTGAAGCATGGGGGTGGAAACATCATGCTTTGGGGCTGTTTTTCTGCAAAGGGACCAGGACGACTGATCCGTGTAAAGGAAATAATGAATGGGGCCATGTATCGTGAGATTTTGAGTGAAAACCTCCTTCCATCAGCAAGGGCATTGAAGATGAAACGTGGCTGGGTCTTTCAGCATGACAATGATCCCAAACACACCGCCCGGGCAACGAAGGAGTGGCTTCGTAAGAAGCATTTCAAGGTCCTGGAGTGGCCTAGCCAGTCTCCAGATCTCAACCCCATAGAACATCTTTGGAGGGAGTTGAAAGTCCGTGTTGCCCAGCGACAGCCCCAAAACATCACTGCTCTAGAGGAGATCTGCATGGAGGAATGGGCCAAAATACCAGCAACAGTGTGTGAAAACCATGTGAAGACTTACAGAAAACGTTTGACCTGTGTCATTGCCAACAAAGGGTATATAACAAAGTATTGAGAAACTTTTGTTATTGACCAAATACTTATTTTCCACCATAATTTGCAAATAAATTCATTAAAAATCCTACAATGTGATTTTCTGGATTTTTGTTTCTCATTTTGTCTGTCATAGTTGATGTGTACCTATGATGAAAATCATCTTTTTAAGTGGGAGAACTTGCACAATTGGTGGCTGACTAAATACTTTTTTCCCCACTGTATCCCTCTCCTCTGTCCCGTCTTTACCATGTTTCTTTCCTTTCCATATCCCCTGTTTTTACCCTCTAACCATTTATGTTCTTTATCTTCCTCTTATCTCTCTCCCTCTCTTACACCCTCCATCTCTTCCTCCCTCTCTCCCTGCTGTTTCGTTCCCCTATATACACCTTTCAAACCAATACGTTCCTTTGCCAACTTTAGCATTCCGCCAACTTCTTTCCGCCTTTTCTTTATATCTGAAAAGTGTTGCCAGTATCAAAGCCTAAACTTTAATTTCAGCGAACCAACCTAGTCATGATTGGGGTAAAGTTCTGCCTACGGCTTTGCATGAAATGTAGCCGTAATGCTGAGGCGCCATTGGCACGCACTACGCTGTTAAGTTCTTGATGGTTGCTAGGCAGTGCCCATTACTACTATCCTCCTGGCAGTTGTAAACTTGCATGTCACTTCACCCATCTCTTCGCATAGCCCAGCACATGTACTGTTTTCTTAACCCAGCGTTTCCCTAACTCTGTCCTGGGGACCCCAAAGGGTGCACGTTTTTGTTTTTTGCCCTAGCACTACACATCTGATTCAAATAATCAAAGCTTGATGATTATTTAAATCAGCTGTGTAGTGCTAGGTCAAAAAACAAAACGTGCACCCCCTGGGGTCCCCAGGACCGAGTTTGGGAAACGCGGTCTTAACCACAACATTTTTTTCTTTATTTTTCACTGACTCTCAGTTTGGATATTGGTTAGGCTACAATTATGCTGTGGTAATATTAGCTGAGTTGAGGTGAGTGCTGCTCATGATCATCTTGGCTCATTTATTAGCACTGATCAGAACATTTTGCCAGCATGTTATGTAGTTTAACAAGTGGATTATTTTGCTATTCACTCGCAGTCGCTTATGCTGCGTTCAAAACACCTGGGAACTCGGAAATCTCGGACTTCAGTGCGTTCAAAACAACCGGGAACTCTGGGGGGGAAAAAAGAGCTCAGACTGGGGAAAAATCTTTTTGAACGGTCATCCAACAAGGCATTTCAACTCGGGAACTATTTCGTTGAAGGTGAAGTTCACCAATTTTTACATGTGGCCTTATTTTCACACTTTCTGTGCTTGTAGTTGATCCCTCAAACTGTTTATTTTATTTTGTTATAGAGAAAATTGTTTGTCACATTTTTCTGAGACCTCACTTGCCATTGACTACAATGCATTATTAAAATGTGTCTAAAGCATGTTATGAAACGCTCCAAACACTCCAAACACTCATATTACATCAGAATCTCATTCTGCACAAAATTATTTATTTATTTTTCACTCCATGTTTGAATAATGCTGTTTATAACAAAAATATGCAAATATGGATTTATGGGACAGTGGAACATAAAAAATAAAAAATAAAAAATGGATTGCAGAGATTTATCCAGAATGAGATTCTGATGTAATATGAGTTGGTTTGGAGTGTTTTGGAGCATTTTATAACATGCTTAGACACATTTTCATAATGCATTGTAGTCAATGGCAAGTGATGACTCTCTAACGAAACAAAATATTTAAAAAACAGTTTGGGTGATCAACTACAAGCACAGAAAGAGTGACAATAAGGCCACATGTAAAAATGGGTGAACTTCCCCTTTAATTGGTTTCTGGCTGGGCAAATAAGTGAAGGTGGTATAGCTCATCTATATGTTTGCTCATTTATCACTGATCAGAAACATTTAGCATGCAATAATGTAGCCTAAATCGAGTGTAGGCCTATTATTTTGCTCGATCGCGTATAGTAGTGTTTCCGCTACAGTCATTTAACTGTGGCGCTGCGCCACGGTAAAATCATTGCCACCACACCAAAGAATATGAAACATGAAAAAATATTTGTCAAGGCGTACTTTGAAGATGCTAGAACAGTCCATATTAACTTTTCCTCTGCAAACAAATAAGTAATGAATAGAAAAATCTGACAACCCCATAGTAGAATAGTTTATCTATTTACCTAGTCGGCTTGTTGTGTGTTCTATGCGTGATACATTTTCCTCTCGAGACGCATTCAAGTTACGAGTGCCATAGGGAGGGAAACTTGCATTCTGACAAGCAGTCAATGCACAACAATTCTTGCAATCATGCAAGAAATGGCATTTGTTAAAAAGAGGGCGATCCCAGCTTTCCATTCCTACTTTATTTCTCAACTCCTAAATACTGTATGTTCAAACTGTACCCTTTTAAACCCAGAGTTTTTAACAGCGTCATGGTTGAGCTTGTTACCGCTACGCAATTTGCCATGAGTGCGAATTATTTAAGAATGATGGAGGCCACTGTTCTTGGGGACCTTCAATACTGCAGAAATATTTTGGTACACTTCCCCAGATCTGTGCCTCGACAATCCTGTCTCGGAGCTCTACAGACAATTCTTTCGACCTCATGGCTTGGTTTTTGCTCTGACATGCACTGTCAACTGTGGGACCTTATATACACTGCTCAAAAAAATTAAGGGAACACTAAAATAACACATCCTAGATCTGAATGAATGAAATAATCTTATTAAATACTTTTTTCTTTACATAGTTGAATGTGCTGACAACAAAATCACACAAAAATTATCAATGGAAATCAAATGTATCAACCCATGGAGGTCTGGTTTGGAGTCACCCTCAAAATTAAAATGGAAAACCACACTACAGGCTGATCCAACTTTGATGTAATGTCCTTAAAACAAGTCAAAATTAGGCTCAGTAGTGTGTGTGGCCTCCATGTGCCTGTATGACCTCCCTACAACGCCTGGGCATGCTCCTGATGAGGTGGCGGATGGTCTCCTGAGGGATCTCCTCCCAGACCTGGACTAAAGCATCCGCCAACTCCTGGACAGTCTGGTGCAACGTGGCGTTGGTGGATGGAGCGAGACAGGATGTCCCAGATGTGCTCAATTGGATTCAGGTCTGGGGAACAGGCGGTCCATAGCCTCAATGCCTTCCTCTTGCAGGAACTGCTGACACACTCCAGCCACATGAGGTCTAGCATTGTCTTGCATTAGGAGGAACCCAGGGCCAACCGCACCAGCATATGGTCTCACAAGGCGTCTGAGGATCTCATCTCGGTACCTAATGGCAGTCAGGCTACCTCTGGCGAGCACATGGAGGGCTGTGCGGCCCCCCAAAGAAATGCCACCCCACACCATGACTGACCCACCGCCAAACCGGTCATGCTGGAGGATGTTGCAGGCAGCAGAACGTTCTCCACGGCGTCTCCAGACTCTGTCACGTGCTCAGTGTGAACCTGCTTTCATCTGTGAAGAGCACAGGGCGCCAGTGCCGAATTTGCCAATCTTGGTGTTCTCTGGCAAATGCCAAACGTCCTGCACGGTGTTGGGCTGTAAGCACAACCCTCACCGGTGGACGTCGGGCCCTCATACCACCCTCATGGAGTCTGTTTCTGACCGTTTGAGCAGACACATGCACATTTGTGGCCTGCTGGAGGTCATTTTGCAGGGCTCTGGCAGTGCTCCTCCTGCTCCTCCTTGCACAAAGGCGGAGGTAGCAGTCCTGCTGCTGGGTTGTTGCCCTCCTACGGCCTCCTCCATGTCTCCTGATGTACTGGCCTGTCTCCTGGTAGCGCCTCCATGCTCTGGACACTACGCTGACAGACACAGCAAACCTTCTTGCCACAGCTCGCATTGATGTGCCATCCTGGATGAGCTGCACTACCTGAGCCACTTGTGTGGGTTGTAGACTCCGTCTCATGCTACCACTAGAGTGAAAGCACCGCCAGCATTCAAAAGTGACCAAAATATCAGCCAGGAAGCATAGGAACTGAGAAGTGGTCTGTGGTCACCACCTGCAAAACCAGTCCTTTATTGGGGGTGTCTTGCTAATTGCCTATAATTTCCACCTGTTGTCTATTCCATTTGCACAACAGCATGTGAAATGTATTGTCAATCAGTGTTGCTTCCTAAGTGGACAGTTTGATTTCACAGAAGTGTGATTGACTTGGAGTTACATTGTGTTGTTTAAGTGTTCCCTTTATTTTTTTGAGCAGTGTAGATAGGTGTGTGCCTTTCCAAATCATGTCCAATGAATTGAATTTACCACAGGTGGACTCCAATGGTGAAATGGTGACATTAAGTGGTTTCTGAGAGAAGTACAGGCGCGTTACCCACAGATGGCGTTTTACCCCACGTTACCCTAACAGGGAGCCCTAACTTATATTCACTTATGCAAGTTTTTGGGGACATAAAATTCCTCAATAGGATGCTAACTAGTTAAAAGGTTACACTTTGGATCTAGCTAATGGTTAGCCCAATAGGGTAAATGCAGATAGGCAACCCCATGCTTCATCCTATTTATTTATTGCGACTATGCTGCATCAGATGGGCTACAGGTTGATAATGCTTATTGCTAATAGCATACCTGATAATATGGACCATCCATAGGCTATATGCATGGTCCAATATGTTAAAATAATTAATAATAATAACGTTTTGAGGGAGCGTGCAATTGGCATACTGACTGCAGGAATGTCCACCAGAGCTGTTGCCAGAGAATTGAATGTTCATTTCTCTACCATAAGCCGCCTCCATCGTCGTTTTAGAGAATTTGACAGAACATGGCGTTGTGTGGGCGAGCGGTTTGCTGATGTCAATGTTGTGAACAGAGTACCCCATGGTGGCGCTGGGGTTATGGTATGGGCAGGCATAAGCTACGGGCAACGAACCCAATTTTATTTTATCAGGCAATTTGAATGCACAGAAATACAGTGACGAGATCCTGAGGCCCATTGTGAGGCCCTTTTTTTTTAAGGGATCTGTGACCAACAGATGCATCTCTGTATTCCCAGTCATGTGAAATCCATAGATTAGGGCCTAATTTATTTATTTCAATTGACTGATTTTCTCATATGAACTGTAACTCCGTAAAATCTTTGAAATTGTTGCATGTTGCATTTATATTTTGGTTCATTATACATAAATAAGATCTGGGGGGACCCCCCCTGCCTGGAGATTGTGAAATATGAACACGAGACTCGCATGCTTTTGAAATGTTATAGATTGCTATTATTTTCTATTGGTATCCTCTGTAGCTCAATTGGTAGAGCATGGCGCTTGTAACGCCAGGGTAGTGGGTTCGATCCCCGGGACCACCCATACGTAAACATGACTGTAAGTCGCTTTGGATAAAAGCGTCTGCTAAATGGCATATTATTATGATGAAGATACTCTCTCAATGTAAGACCCTAAGCCTGCTCCCAAACAAAGTGGAGTAAGGGTAGGAAAGCAATGAAATATGACAGTGGTTCCACACGTTGCTGTGACACAAAAATATTATTTGTATTTTATTCTGTTATTTCATTTATATTCTTAGCCTACTATAAAATGTGTGTTGACTGTGATCAGGGTAGCCTAAGTGTGTCTTGTCTGTTTAATGAACAAAATAACTATAGGCTGCGCAGACCAGTAACATAATTAAACTCAAAATATGCCATTCTATTCTTTTGAAAATAAATGTTATTAGTTTTATAATGTTTCTTAGGACCTGCCTAAAACAAATTAATGATTTCTTTGTGATGGTGAATATTCAATGGATTTATTAAAGTAGGAGTCCCACATCTACTCCCACTCCTAAACTTGCTGGCATGTGCACAGGAGATATAAAAGGCTTGTCCGGGCAAGAATGTGGTATAAATGGGACTGTACGAATTGGGTTCTAAAAAATTGCCAGATATTTTATTTTATTTTATTTTTTATTTTACTGGCAACATACTGTAAAGGGTATTAAACAGGAGGACCCCAGGGTGACCAGAGAGATGGTAGAGGAGAGTTAATTTAAATAAAAGTCAAATTAACGTCTCCCACTCTGAGCTCGTTAGTGTTAGACTGACGACCGCGGGGGCTGGATGAGGCTAATTGGTAGAAGTTGCCCTTGGGCGCAGATCTAGGATCAGTTTATCCTCCCCAAATCCAGACCTCAAGCATTAGGGAGGGAAATGCAAAATTGACCTTAGATCAGTTACTATAGGCAACTTCAAGGGTGTATTGGGAGGGCATCGCAGACTCACACACTGCTCTTCACTGATACACTGGTATCATGACCCTCTCCTCTCTAGCTCTATTAACGCACTATTAACCTTTGGAGAGAGCCATCAGTGTTCAGACAGCCATGGTTTCTACTAGAGAGAGTGTGTGTGTGTGTTGCATGCAGTAATGGTGTGTGTATATTATAGGTCGGTGATGGGGAGCAGCCTGCCTGCAATCATCAGGCCAGCAGCAGACGCAACGACAACAGGGGCAGCTTCTGTTTCGACCCCAGGTAACACACACTCCACACAGACAATACAGAAAATGCTATCCCAGCTTTACCAACACACACAAAACCTAACCCTACTCTCTCGCTCCCCCTCTCTCCTCTCTGCTCCTCCTCTCTCGCTCTCCTTCTCTCTCTGCTCCCCTTCTCTCTTTGCTCCCCCTCTCTCTGCTCCCTCTCTCTCCCTTTCTGTCCCACTCTCTCCTCCACATCTGACTCTACTCTTTCCTACCCCCCCTTCCCCCTCCCTCAGTAGTGAGGTCCACAAGCGCTGTCCGTTGTGCGAGGTGATCTTCCCGCCCCATTTTGAGCAGCGTAGCTTTGAGCAGCATGTGGAGAGCCACTGGAAGGTGTGTCCCGTGTGCTCTGAGCAGTTCCCCCTCGACTGCCATCAGCAGCTCTTCGAGAAGCACGTGCTCACACACTTTGACGGCCATGTGCTGAACTTCGACAACATGGAGTAGCGGGGAGGTTGGGGGGGGGGGGGGGGTGTGTGTGTGTGTGTGTGTGTAAAAGGGAAGGTTGGATTGGATTAAGGGATGTAAAAAATTATAAAAATTCTAGGAACGTGTGCTCAAATCGGGGTTGGCGATGATTTCATTTCAATTTAACTCTGACTAGGAGGGGAGATTACAAGTCATCCACATCAACAATTGAAAAATCATTGGGAAATTTGCTCTTTTAAGGATCTGAATTTAAATGGAATTAACTCCAATCCTGGCCTCACATGCTACCTTTCAAAAACATCAAGGAGTGTGTATGATTGTGTAAGGGGGAGTTTGTCAGTTGCGGTTTAGGGAAATAACAACATAAATACTTGGCGTGAGAAGGTCGGAGCCTTAGATTCTACAGTTGGAGCACTTTGGTTTTGTCCCATGTTGATGTCATCTTTCTGCTTCGAGGTTGTAGCGTCATCATCACTGCATGTGTTTAGTATCCGTAGGATTCATCTGCGCTAATCAGCCAGACTTCGCTTTCTGTTCCTGTTCCCAGTTATTGTAGCCACACGTAGAAACAGGTGACATCCAGGGATTGGGGGGGGAGTAGGATGATGTTGCCTCTAAACATTGATCTAAGGTCAGTTTTGGGTTTTACCTCCTAATGGTTAAGGTTGAGATTGGTGTTGGGTAATCTGATCCTAGATCTGTGGTTAGGGGAAACGAATTAATAGTATGACAGTTGGACTCTTGTCAGCAAAAGACGGACGTTTTAAAAAATAACATGAAATAGCACTATTGTTTGAATTTGACTGCACTAAAGGCTTTATTATTCTGAATGTATACTGTATAAATGAGAAGTAGAACTATTATGGAGAAATGTGGCTGACTTGCTCGTGACCTCAATGTATTCACTCATGTTTTAGTAATGACAGAATGATGATGGACCAATTATGTTTTACTTCCTGGTGTGCAATTCCTGGTCTCTGTTCACTGGATAGGGTAACATTCTCCTAGACATTCCGCTTCAGTTGATTGGAGGGAAGGTAACTGGAAATATGGCTATGGACTCTTTCACTTATCTTTTCCTCCTTTGTTGGGGTCCAAGTCAGTTTCTCTTGGCTGTGCGTGCGTCTCCACATTGAGTGTCCTTTAATTCTTGTCATCTGTCTGTCTGGAGATTTTACTGTTCTTTCAATGTGACCACAGTGCTGTACTTTTGGCTTCAAAGTTGCACCTTTATGAGAGTGAGTGTGTAGGTTTGTATGTGTGCATTAAAAAGATCTTTATGAATAAAGTACGACTGTCAAATGGATACAATTGTCATTTTGTCTTTCCATCTTTTGGGTCACAACACACACCAATCAACCACACAGACAGTTCTGGGCTCCAGAGCTCTTTTTAATTATTTTTATGTAATCGCGTTTACATTTGAAGCAGCTTCTTGTATATAAAGACAGTTTAACGTAGTACACAGGTCTCCCTACTCAAACTCTGCCTCCGTACAAATAGGAAACATATGAAAATATAATTTAAAAGCACATTACAATACATTCACTGTACACAGTATATCGAAATAGAAATAGTCCCCCTCACACACACACACACGACTAATGTACTCCTCCCATCCCCGCTCTGTTAAACAGTGTATTTAAACTGTAACCATGGCGACCTGCATCTCCATCTAACAGTCTCTGATCCCTTGCCAGAACGCTACAGAGCCAAGGCTTCCAAGTACGGAAAACCCGGCACAGAGTACGGAACAAGTTGTGTACGGCACACACAAACACTACCCCAACAATGCTACCTTCCTCTTTCACTGCCATTTTCTTTGTATTGTATTCAGTGTCTCCGAGTAGGAGTGCTGTTCTAGGATCAGGTCCCCCCTCCTACTCATTATGATTTAAAGGAAAATCTGATCCGAGATCAGCACTCCTACTCTGAAATGCTTTGTGAATACGGGCCCTGACCTTAACGGCACTTTACCACACCCATGTCAATGTGTGTGGTGGGGGACCATCACAGAACAGAATGACAGGTTAGAAATGTTTTACGGCCTTTCACAAAATGGCACCACTTTTTGACATTCCACCACTCCGCTGTACTCTGAAGGCATGATATCCCAACTGGATCACAAAATGCCCACCTTTACACTATGAGAGTACACCAGACAGTCTCCTGCTCTACAGCAGCAATTGGCAAGGCCTTGGTTTGACACTATCTACGACCCAAATGGTGCACTATTCTCTATATAGTGCACTACTTTTGACCAGAGCCCTTAGGGAATAGGGTGCAATTTGGGACACACACCCAGTGACCTGGCACTGTAACACATATGGTTCTATGACATTTGAGCTTCAGCCATAAATTGTAACACTATAATGGACTAACAGAAAGCAAGATAATAACACTAGAAGCTGAAAAGCTCAGATACTGCAGAAAGACTCGGCTTAGAAGCAACTCACACTGACTACTGGAATGCTGTGGTCTACAACGCAAGGCAATCAAAGGTTGTAGGTGTAATCTCTCTCGACACACACACACGCCCTTTTAGACAAAAGCATGCACAAAAACTTACCATCACACACACAGTCACACTTGAGGCGCAATGAGGCAGTATTCCCTTGACACTTTTGCGCGCCTCTTAGATGAAACCTCTTATGACAGTCGCTCTCCCCCCTCAGGCACATAGTATGGTCAATGTTTGGCAGTAGAGAGCTGTTGGCAATGATCATGGAAAAGAAACCAGTAACAACACTTGGCAACTGGAACAGAATACAGCATGATGCCTCAACTGGTCTGCTCACACTACAGTCTGGAATAACCTTCTAGAATACAGCATGATGCCTCAACTGGTCTGCTCACACTACAGTCTGGAATAACCTTCTAGAATACAGCATGATGCCTCAACTGGTCTGTTCACACTACAGTCTGGAATAACCTTCTAGAATACAGCATGATGCCTCAACTGGTCTGTTCACACTACAGTCTGGAATAACCTTCTAGAATACAGCATGATGCCTCAACTGGTCTGCTCACACTACAGTCTGGAATAACCTTCTAGAATACAGGATGCACAATCCATTCCGGAATCATTGGGGATCAGTCCTAAAACTGTTCTAGAACAGTGGGAATGAAGGGATTCAATACTTTACCTGTTTCTCTATATGGGCCGAATGATAACATGAAATCTGCATGTGTAACTTTAGCGCAAATCGTGCATTAAATAGCAATAGGAAAAACTGAAAAATTTATTTTGGACGCAGATCTCAAGTTAGGATTCAAGCCATAGTCAGTTATTATTTTGCTCATGGGAATATCTAGACCTGAGGTCACCTAGCTGTTTCAACTTTGAACTATGACACCACAGAACAGGTTGTCTCAGGGGGTTGAGGAATGAAAAACACACTTATTGATAAAATATCAAAGAAAATATCTGGAAAATATATTGAAAAATAAAGTATAAAATAAAGCTTGAAAATAAAGTAACTTTTGTATATGCTTATGAATACTTATATTTGTATATACACACATATCTATTGTTTATATATCTATATATAGACTGTTTAACGCAACTCAACATCCATCCACTCCTTCCACTTGCCTCATCCCCCTCTTCTTTTCTCTTTTTCTTTTTTACAGTTAGCACCGTATGTCAATACAAAGAGTAATGACAATTGTTGTGATAGCAGAAGAATGTGCAAATGTACAACAACAAAACTTAAGCCTATAAAGATACATATCATTCAAAAAATAACTAGAGATAGCATGTGAAAACCATAGAACATTATACAAGACATAAAAAAGGCTAACGACAAAACAACTTAAAGCATGCACTAGATCCTTTAGTGTGTGGGAGGAAGGAATAGGGTTTTGGGTTGTCACCCCTACAGTTGGGACAGAAGGGATAGGGGTATGTTTTGGGTGGTTGGGAGAGGTGGGGTGGATATTGACGATTGAAAAGGTTTGGGGTGGTTGGGTTGGGTGGGTATTGCTGGTGAGGAATAGGGATATGTTTGGGTGGGTGACCAGGGGTTGTCACGACGATCGTCTCTAGCCCTGCATCTTGCGGATGATGTCGGCGGAGACGGGCGGGTGGAAGTTGATGGTGTGGTGCCTCAGGCCCTGGGACGTCTTGTAGCTCTTCCCACAGCGGCACTTGAAGGGCTTCCGCACACGAATCTGGGTCCGGTGGCCATTCTTGGCGTGGTATTTAATACCGTTCACATTCTGAATGACGGGGAGAGACATTAGCAGGAGGACAGCAGGAGAACCCTGGCCTGGGGTGGTCTAGCGGTCTAAGCCTCTGCCTCCAGAATACATGTACCTGTGCAAGTGTGGGTTTGAATCCGACCGACTGCTATTCTAACACACCCTCTCCTCCCATCTTTTTCTTACTATCCCATCTAATGAAGAAAAAAAATACAAAAGGAATCAAAATAATAATTTCCCTTTACATTATCTTAGTGAGGATCCCTAAAAGCAACATCCAGGAACAACATTGAAAACATTGACATTGCTAGTGGAAACTTCCCCTCAGATCCTGTATTGAAGTGAAAACCTCCAGTACTCAGATCATAGGCTACACTGAACTGATCTATAGAGGACTAGCGTGTAGCAGAAGAATAGAGCTAGGGACCAAATACATGGAAGTGAGCTGGGGCTGTGTGTGTACTGCACCTTGTATCTCTTCTTGCAGCCAGGCACAGGGCAGGCGAAGGGTTTCTCCTCTCCTCCATTCATACACATGGAGCTGAGGATAGACTCTGAGCTGATGGCACTCTCTGTGGTCCAGGACTCATCACTGTCTGACTCCTCATAGTCCACCTCCTCATCATCATACTCACTGCCTGGAGGGGGAAAACACACACAGACAGAGAAAAGAGAGAGAACATTACTATAGGGGAAACACAGACGGTTACATCTGTCTATTGTCTTGAGGAGAGGGGCATGGAGCAGACAGAGGGTTTGGTGTGTGTCAGTGGCACCCAGGGGGAGGGTGTTGGCTCCCTGAAAGAGATCATTAAGTGGGAGGTGTCCTCATTGTTTTGCCTGGAAAAAGTGCAACACTTTTTCCACTCACACACTGACTATCACAACCCCATCCCCCAATGTACACCCACACTGTACCCCCCCCCCCCACCACCATTACACAGGAAATGCTTCACCTCAGCAGGAGGAAGTGGATGGCACCCTGGCACATGTTAAAAGGATTTCAACAAGGGTGTGTGTGCGTGCGTGCGCGGTTGTGTAAGCGCAGACCTAGTGCTGCGATTGAAAACATTTGGGCAGGAATTGCACATCTGCTTTTGGGCTCTGAAACACACACACACACACACACACACACACACACACCCATGCAAACATGTAATTACCAGTGTTGACTGGGATCACTGCAGGAACACGCTCTCTCTCTACTGAACACACGTGTTGAACTGGCATGTAGTCTGGATCACTCACAATAGGAGTGTTCTATTGACACTCAGTCTAGAACATTAGAGGCAAATCCATTCAGCAGACGCTTTTATCCAAAGAGATTTACAGTAGTGGGAGAATACATTTCCTTATGGGTGAACCCAGGTAAGCAAACCCACAATCCTGGCATTGCGATCACCATGCTTTACCCAGTGCATCACACAAGACCACAAGGGGCCATACATCTTCAGCAGGGCCGAGACGCTACCAGTATCGCAATATTTTTTCCATGCCAAAAATGAAAACCGAAGCACACCAAATTCTTTGGTCCTTTAAAAACTGTCTGTATGTAAAATATTGTATGCCATAGCTTGGGAAATAAATAAATGTGACTCTGGATGACAACATAAATCAGATTCTTGTTATGTTTTCTTGCCATGATACTAACGAGTATCGCGATACTGGTATCGTCCCAGCCCTAATCCTAAGTGTCCACTTTCTCTTACCTGTGGGTGTGCTGCTACGGAACGAGGAGGAGGGTGTGATGGGTGGAGTCACGGGAGGAGTCAGGTTGCCGTTGCTGTGGCGTGGAGGCGTGGCCACGCTGTTCCGAGACACGCCCCCTGTGATTGACAGGGAAAGTTTGGGTGTGGCCCTCTTCTTCAGGGTCTCCTGCTCCCGACGCGCCGCGTCAGTCATGAACCTGGACACACGTTACACACATAATACACACGTTACACACACACACTCATACAAATAAAGATTACTTAAACAATGATACAGTAGTATCTCCTCCTCTTCTCACTCCCTACCTCCCTCCCTCGCTCCCTCCCTCCCTCCCTCATCCCGTCCCTCCTCCTTCTCCTCTCCTCCCTCTTCCTCGTACATCCTCCTCTCTCCTCTCTCCTCCCTCCCTCCTCCTCCTTCCTCGCTTCCTCCCTCCCGCTTCTCTCGCTCCCCTCCCTCTCTCTCCCTCCCTCTTCTCCTCCCCATCCCTCCCTCCTCCCTCCCCGCTCCTCTCTCGCTCCCTCTCTCCCTCTCTCCCTCCCTCCCTCTCTCTCCCTCCCTCCCTCCCTCCTCTCCTCTCTCTCCTCCCTCCCTCTTCTCCTCCTCCCTCCCTCCCGCTTCTTCCCTCTGCTCCTCCCCTCCCTCCCTTCTCTCTCCCTCCCTCCCTCCCCTTCTCTCCTCCCTCCCTCTTTCCTCGCTCCCTCCCTCCCTCTCCTCCTCCCTCCCTCTCTTCTCGCTCCCTCCCTCGCTTCTCGCTCCCTCCCTCCCTCTCTCTTCTCGCTCCCTCCCTCCCTCTCTCTTCTCCTCCCTCCTCCCTCCTCCTCTCCTCCCTCCCGCTCCCTCCCTCCCTCTCTCTTCTCGCTCCCTCCCTCTCTCTTCTCGCTCCCTCCCTTATAGAAATAAGGTTCATGAAATTAATAATTTGCTAGTAACATATTACATTCATATTCTGACCATCTCTGAAACTCACTTAGATAATACATTTGATGATACAGTGGTAGAAATACATGGTTATAACATCTACAGAAAAGACAAATGCCAATAGTGGAGGTGTTGCTGTTTATATTCAGAACCACATTCCTGTAAAGCTTAGAGGATCCCATGTTAAATACTGTTTAAGTAATATGGCTACAGGTTCATCTGCCTCACCTAAAGCCCATTCTTGTAGGAAGCTGCTATAGACCACCAAGTGCTAACAGTCAGTATCTGGATAACGTGTGAAATGCTTGATAATGTATGTGTATCAACAGAGGTATATTTTATGGGTGATTTAAATATTGACTGGCTTTCATCAAAGGTGGTCCTCTGTAGCTCAATTGGTAGAGCATGGCGCTTGTAACGCCAGGGTAGTGGGTTCGATCCCCGGGACCACCCATACGTAAAAATGTAAGTCTGCTAAATGGCATATTATTATTATTATTATCAAGCTGCCCACTCAAGAAAAAGCTTCAAACTGTAACCAGTGCCTGCAACCTGGTTATCAGTCAACCTACCAGGGTAGTTACAAACAGCACAGGAATGAAATCATCAACATGTATTGATCACATCTTTACTAATGCTGCAGAAATGTTATTTAAAACAGTATCCAAATCCATCGGGTGTAGTGATTACAATATAGTAGCCATATCTAGGAAAACAAAAGTTCCAAAGGCTGGGCCTAATATAGTGTATAAGAGGTCATACAATACGTGTTATAGTGATTCCTACGTTGTTGATGTAAATAATATTTGTTGGTCTGTGGTGTGTAATGAGGAGCAACCAGACGCTGCACTTGACACATTTATGAAATTGCTTATTCCAGTTACTAATAAGCATGCACCCATTAAGAAAATTACTGTAAAAACTGTTAAATCCCTGTGGATTGATGATTAATTGAAAAGTTGTATGGTTGAGAGGGATGAGGCAAAAGGAATGGCAAATAAGTCTGGCTGCACAACCAATTGGCAAACGTACTGCAAATTGAGAAATCATGTGACTAAACTGAATAAAAAGAAGAAGGAACTATACTATGAAACAAAGATAAATGATATAAAGATAGTAAAAAGCTTTGGAGCACCTTAAATTAAATTTTAGGCAAAAAGGCAAACTCAGCTCCATCATTCATTGAATCAGATGGCTCATTCATCACAAAACCCACTGATATTGCCAATTACTCATTATTTTTTAATTGGCAAGATTAGCAAACTTAGGCATGACATGCCAGCAACAAACGCTGACACTACACATTCAAGTATAACTGATAAAATTATGAAAGACAAGCATTGTAATTTTGAATTCCGTAAAGTGAGTATGGAAGAGGTGAAAAAAAGTATTGTTGTCTATCAACAATGACAAGTCACCGGGGTCTGACAACATGGATGGAAAATTACTGCAGATAATTGCAGACGATATTGCCACTCCTATTTGCCATATCTTCAATCTTAGCCTACTAGAAAGTATGTGCCCTCAGGCCTGGAAGGAAGCAAAAGTAATTCCGCTACCCAAGAATAGTAAAGCCCCCTTTACTGGCTCAAATAGCTGACCAATCAGCCTGTTACCAATCCTAAGTAGACTTTTGGAAAAAATCGTTTGACCAAATACAATGCTATTTTACTGTAAACAACAGACTTTCAGCACACTTATAGGGAAGGACATTCAACAAGCACGGCACAAATGACTGATGATTGGCTGAGAGAAATGTATGATAAAACGATTGTGGGAGCTGTTTTGTTAGACTTCAGTGAGGCTTTTGACATTGTTGATCATAGTCTGCTGATGGAAAAACTTGTGTTATGGCTTTACACCCCCTGCTATATTGTGGATAAAGAGTTACCTGTCTAACAGAACACAGAGGGTGTTCTTTAATGGAAGCCTCTCCAACAAAATCCAGGTAGAATAAGTAATTTCCCATGGCAGCTGTCTAGGCCCCTTACTTTTTTCAATCTTTACTAAGGACATGCCACTGGTTTTGAGTAAAGCCAGTGTGTCTATGTATGCGGATGACTCAAGACTAGACACGTCAACTACTACAGCGAGTGAAATCACTGCAAAACAAAGAGCTGCAGTTAGTTTCAGAATGTGTGGAAGGAATAAGTTAGTCCTAAATATTTTAAAAACTAAAAGCATTGTATTTGGGACAAATTATTCACTAAACCCTGAACCTCAACTAAATCTTGTAATAAATTATGTGGAAATTGAGCAAGTTCAGGTGACTAAACTGCTAGAAGTAACCCTAGATTGTAAACTGTCATGGTCAAAACATGTTGATAGAACAGTAGCTAAGATGGGGAGAAGTCTGTCCATAATTAAGCACTACTCTGCCTTTTTAGCAACACCATCAACATTAATAATATGCATGTAAATCTCTCATGGCTCAAAGTGGAGGAGAGATTGACTTCATCACTACTTGTTTTTGTTAGAAGTGTTGACATGCTGAATACACCGAGGTGTCTGTTTAAACTGCTAGCACACAGCTCAGACACCCATGCATACCCACAAGACATGCCACCAGAGGTCTCTTCACAATCTCCAAGTCCAGGACAGACTATGGGAGGCGCACAGTTCTACATAGAACCATGACTACATGGAACTCTATTCCACATCAGGTACCTAATGCAAGCAGTAGAATCAGATTTTAAAAAACAGATACAAATACACCTTATGGAACAACGGGTACTGTGAAGAGACACACACAGGCACAGACACACATTCACATGATAAGACACGCACTCTACACACACGTACACATGGAGTTTGTATTGTAGATATGTGGTAGTAGAGTAGTGGCCTGAGGGAACACACAATATGTTGTGAAAAGTGTTAGGAAATATAATGTCATGTATGCTAGTCTTTGTCAAAACTGCTCCATCATTAGAGCAACACTGCTCTCTATAGAGTGTGTGTGTGTGTGTGTGTGTGTGTGTGTGTGTGTGTGTGTGTGTGTGTGTGTGTGTGGCATTTACGTGTGTATCAGTGGAGGCTGCTGAGGGGACGACGGCTCATAATAATGGCTGGAACGGAGTGAATGGAATGGCATCAAACATATGGAATGCATGTGTTGGATGTATTTGATACCATTCCACCTATTCCGCTCTAGCCATTACCACGAGTCCGTCCTCCCCAATTAAGGTGCCACCATCCTCCTGTGGTGTGTATGTTACCTGTTGATGTAGCTCAGGGCCAGGTAGGTGGGCTGTTGTTGCTCCTGTTTCTCCAGAACACGAGGATCTGTGTCTGAGAGAGAGAGAGAGAGAGAGAGAGAGAGAGAGAAGAGAGAGAGAGAGAGAGAGAGAGAGAGAGATAAGAGAGAGAGAGCGAGAGAGAGATAGAGATAGCGAGAGAGAGATAGCTAGAGAGAGATAATCTATAGACGCATTCGCTTCTCGCTCCCTCCCTCCTCTCTCGCTACTCTCTATCTCTGCTCTCTCTCATCTCTCGCTACTCACTCTCCCTCTCTCGAGTACTATCATGCACTCTCTATTCGATACTCGATCGTCATCTTACGTTCTCTATGCGCTCTATCTCTTTTGATCTCTCTCGCTCTCTACGATCGACGTAGATAGATGGGTGCGATATAAGAGGTGCATAAAGAGACGAGATAGAAAGGGTGTTTAGTTACTGTAAAATAGATTCATATGGATATTTAGAATTTTTTTAAAAACTTAAATACGGAAATAGATTCTGAGTCTTGAAATCTTTCAGTATGTATCAGCATAGTACATGAGAAGCACAAGGGGAGACAAACTGTTAGCAAACATCCAGTACAGTTGTTCTTGATTACATAGAACCATGTTACAGAGAGGGTTATGTAACCAAGAACTCTGTACATTACACCATGTTACAGAGAGGGTTATGTAACCAAGAACACTGTACACAGCACCATGTACATAACCCTCTCTGTAATATGGTGCTATGTACAGGGGATGGAAGGAGGTGGAGGTTATGGTGGATATACTAGAAATATCACACAAACACACCTCAGTAACACTGCAGCAGGCAGTTTCCACTGCCTGGGGCCACCAGGCCAAACTAAAAAAACGAGCGTGAGTGTGTGTGAGAGAGAGAGAGAGCGAGAGAGAGGAGCAGAGGACATAGGTGGGTGAGAGAGAGAGAGAGAGAGAGAGAGAGAGAGAGAGAGAGAGAGAGAGAGAGAGAGAGCGCTGTAGTTTAACAGCGCCGGAGAAGATGGCTGCCGTTTTACAGCCCTCTAACCAATTGTACTATTATGTGTGTTTTTCCGTGTGCAATGTGATGAATGTGTGCTAAGCCACAACTGCACACTACCACAGTATACCACACTGAGTAGAAATACAGTCAATAGCCGAATACATATGCAATGCAAATGGCTTGTTGTGAATGTGTACAGCCTAATTCATAAGGCCTAACATACGTACACACGCAACGCAAGAACGCAATTAGCTAAGCAAAATGGTGATCCTGCGTACTTGCATCAAGATTATATAATTGATATCTTTGCTCCGCAACTATGCTGTGTAATGCACTGTACTTGACAGAGTTTACACGTATCTAATCTGATGTGCACTTATCAGGAGTCAACCATACTGTGTATATACTATGACATGTGTTTAACTTTTAGAATATATTGTGTTTCTGAGTATCAGTTCAGCCTTGGTGTGAGCCTCAATACGTGTGAGAGTGAGTGAGAGTAAGTGGAGACAATGTGTGTGTATGTATGTAATTATGGTTGTGTGTATCATGGTTCACAGATGACCAGAGCTAGATTATCTCTGTGCCATTTTTAACAGTCTCCCTCTGTGTGTGTGTGTGTGTGTGTGTGTGTGTGTGTGTGTTTGGTCTTGGCCTTAGCAGTACTTTGGCTTCAGACATTCACACCTCATAATTAAGAAATAATTCAGACTTCCCACAGTAGAGGAGCACACCAGGGAGACCAGCAAACACCCATACAACCTGACGTGTGTGTGCACACGCACACACACAAAGCAGTCTCTCTCGCATTCTCTCTGTCCCTCCCTCTCTCTGAATCTCTCGCGCACACGTCTGAGGTGGTCCACTGAGGTGGTCTTAAGCAGGTTTTTACTGCCGTGCTTTAATCATTCTACCTGCTGCTGAGATCCAGAAACCAGAACACTTAACTTAGCCTACATACACTCTATGAGAGAGAGAGAGAGACAACACAATTAGACCCAACCAAATCATGAGAAAACAAAAAGAGAATTACTTGACACATTGGAAAGAATTAACAAAAAAACAGAGCAAACTAGAATGCTATTTGGCCCTAAACAGAGAGTACACAGTGACAGAATACCTGACCACTGTGACTGACCCAAACTTAAGGAAATCTTTGACTTTGTACAGACTCAGTGAGCATAGCCTTGCTATTGAGAAAGGCCGCCGTAGGCAGACCTGGCTCTCAAGAGAAGACAGGCTATTTGCACACTGCCCACAAAATGAGGTGGAAACTGAGCTGCACTTCCTAACCTCCTGCCAAATGTATGACCATATTAGAGACACATATTTCCCTCAGATTACAGAGATCCACAAAGAATTTGAAAACAAATCCAATTTTGATAAACTCCCTTATCTACTGGGTGAAAAACCACAGTGTGCCATCACAGCAGCAAGATTTGTGACCTGTTGCCACAAGAAAAGGGCAACCAGTGAAGAACAAACACCATTGTAAATACAACCCATATTTATGTTTATTTATTTTCCCATTTGTACTTTAACTATTTGCACATTGTTACAACACTGTACATATACATAATATGACATTTGAAATGTATTTATTCTTTTGGAACTTCTGAATGTAATGTTTACTGTTAATATTTGTTTATTTCACTTTTGTTTACTATCTACTTCACTTGCTTTGGCAATGTTAACATACGTTTCCCATGCCAATAAAGCCCTTAAATTGAAATGAGAGAGAGAGAGAGAGAGAGAGAGAGAGGAGCAGAGGACATAGGTGGGTGAAGAGAGAGAGAGAGAGAGAGAGAGAGAGAGAGAGGGAGGAGCGGAGGACATAGGTGGGTGAAGAGAGAGAGAGGAGCAGAGGACATAGGTGGGTGAAGAGAGAGAGAGCGCTGTAGTTTAACAGCGCCGGAGAAGATGGCTGCCGTTTTACAGCCCTCTAACCAATTGTACTATTATGTGTGTTTTTCCGCGTTATTTGTAATTTATTTTGTACATAATGTTTCTGCCATCGTCTCTTATAACCAAAAGAGCTTCTGGATATCAGGACAGCGATTACTCACCTCGTATTGGACGAAGATTTTTTCTTCAACGAGGCGGCCGCGAAGGATATCCTACAGACACCCGACAAGGCCCAAATCCCCGTCATTCGCATGAGGAAGAGACGGAGATATCGTGGACGTAGGTCGGGGTGCCTTGTAAGGATCCGACGGCGAGCGAATAAACTGCCGCTCCCATCAATCCTATTAGCCAATCTTCAATCATTGGAGAACAAATTGGATGACCTAAGATTACGGTTATCCTACCAACTGGACATTAAAAACTGTAATATCTTATGTTTCACCGAGTCGTGGCTGAACGACAACATGGATAACATACAGCTAGCGGGCTATACGCTACAATCGGCAGGATAGAACGGCTGACTCCGGTAAGACAAGGGGTGGCGGTCTGTGTATATTTGTAAACAACAGCTGGTGCACAAAATCAAATACTAAGGAAGTCTCAAGGTTTTGCTCGCCTGAGGTAGAGTATCTTATGATAAGCTGTAGACCACACTATTTACCAAGAGAGTTTTCATCTATATTTTTCATAGCTGTCTATTTACCACCACAAACCAATGCTGGCATTAAGATTGCACTGAATGAGCTGTATAAGGCCATAAATCAACAGGAAAACGCTCATCCAGATGCAGCGCTCCTAGTGGCCGGGGACTTTAATACAGGGAAACTTAAATCCGTTCTAACCTAATTTCTACCAGCATGTTAAATGTGCAACCAGAGGAAAAAAAAAAAACTCTAGACCACCTTTACTCCACACACAGAGACGCATACAAAGCTCTCCCTCGCCCTCCATTTGGCAAATCTGACCATAACTCTATCCTCCTGATTCCTGCTTATAAGCAAAAACTAAAGCAGGAAGCACCAGTGACTCGGTTAATAAAAAAGTGGTCAGATGACACAGATGCTAAGCTACAGGACTGTTTTGCTAGCACAGACTGGAACATGTTCCGGGATTCTTCAGATAGCATTGAGGAGTACACCACATCAGTCACTGGCTTCATCAATAAGTGCATCGATGATGTCGTCCCCACAGTGACCGTACGTACATACCCCAACCAGAAGCCATGGATTACAGGAAACATCTGCACTAAGCTAAAGGGTAGAGCTGCCGCTTTCAAGGAGCGGGACTCTAACCCGGATGCTTATAAGAAATCCCGCTATGCCCTCCGACGAACCATCAAACAGGCAAAGAGTCAATACAGGACTAAGAATCGTACTACACTGGCTCTGACGCTCGTCGGATGTGGCAGGGCTTGAAAACTATTACAGACTACAAAAGGGAAGCACAGCCGCGAGCTGCCCAGTGACACAAGACTTCCAGACGAGCTAAACCACTTCTATGCTCGCTTCGAGGCAAGCAACACTGAAGCATGCATGAGAGCACCAGCTGTTCCGGATGACTATGTGATCACGCTCTCCGTAGCCGATGTGAGTAAGACTTTTAAGCAGGTCAACATTCACAAGGCCGCAGGGCCAGACGGATTACCAGGACGTGTACTCCGAGCATGTGCTGACCAACTGGCAAGTGTCTTCACTGACATTTTCAACATGTCCCTGACTGAGTCTGTAATACCAACATGTTTCAAGCAGACCACCATAGTCCCCGTGCCCAAGGACTCTAAGATAACCTGCCTAAATGACTACCGACCCGTAGCACTGACGTCTGTAGCCATGAAGTGCTTTGAAATGCTGGTCATGGCTCACATCAACAGCATTATCCCAGAAACCCTAGACCCACTCCAATTTGCATACCGCCCCAACAGATCCACAGATGATGCAATCTCTATTGCACTCCACACTGCCCTTTCCCACCTGGAAAAGAGGAACACCTACGTGAGAATGCTATTCATTGACTACAGCACAGCATTCAACACCATAGTGCCCTCAAAAGCTCATCACTAAGCTAAGGATCCTGGGACTAAACACCTCCCTCTGCAACTGGATCCTGGACTTCCTGATGGGCCGCCCCCAAGTGGTAAGGGTAGGTAACAACACATCTGCCACACTGATCCTCAACACGGGGGCCCCTCAGGGGTGCGTGCTCAGTCCCCTCCTGTACTCCCTGTTCACCCATGACTGCATGACCAGGCACGACTCCAACACCATCATTAAGTTTTCCGACAACACAACAGTGGTAGGCCTGATCACCGACAACGATGAGACAGCCTATAGGGAGGAGGTCAGAGACCTGGCCGTGTGGTGCCAGGACAACAACCTCTCCCTCAACGTGACCAAGACAA